AAACATCTTTGATGCTAAACAACTATATTAATACACGTTTTCAGTCAGTTTTATCGGTAATTTCATTATTAATACAAAAAACAATATTCTTTATAACTTTATTTCTTAACGTTGTTAGGCCGTCGCCAACACGACTGCTCGTGTTTCTTGCAATATAATGGTACATTTTCTGTGATGATGATCTCTAAAAATAATACAAGATTTTATGAAATATCCTATGAGTTTAATATTAATTAGGACATCTGCAATTCAATTTTTACTAACCCCTAGTTATACCCTGTTATTAAATTAGCAGCAGCTTTATATTGTTGATTGATCTTCTCTGTGTTATCATACTATGGTACCTTTGCATAAATATTTAAAGCAATTTTTTCTTCTGGAGGAATGAATAATACTGTTTTATTCGAGGCTAAGTTATTATACAATATCCATTCTTCATTAGTGGAATATGTGTATGCTTTGTAATGAGCTAGGCTCTTTGGTGATTTGGAGTCACCATCAAAAGCAATTATTCCTTTGAGTTCAAAATCAATATCTTTTAGTTGTAACATTTTAGGTATTTCTTCAAAATCTGTTTTGAAATTCACTTTTTTACTTTTGACGGCTGCAAGAATATTTTCAGCATTCTTTTCTTCATGTTAATACTCCAGATCAATAACAAAATAATTAGAAAGTTCATATTTTACTTCTAAGCTTTTATCTGCGCACTCCATACAAAATATTAACTTGTTTAATAATTTATTCTCTAAGAGACGCTCAAAAGATCTTATACCATTATTATAATAGTTTGTGGCTGATAATGACATACTACAATATGTTCTTTGGTTTTTATAATTACAATGTGAGCATTTAAAAGTTTTTTTGAATCCTTGGTAATTGTTACAATAAATTTTCAAATATATTTCCTACATTGTCACAGCAATCAATAATAGATTCTGAAAATGTTTTTGCATTTTGATATAATGGATACAAAATCTCACTCCTACAATTATATACATCTGTATGAAAATTATTATCACAATAATTAACTATACAATTGTAAATACTAGGAGAACCATCACATCTCGTTTTCTTTATATCTTGTTTAAAGTATTCATTATTAATATAAATAGTCGTCAAAACTACTCATACACTATTGAAGGGGAATGTGCTTCAAAATTGTAGTAGCTTTAAGCTGTTATTTATGCTGTATGTTTTTTCCCTATTTTATTTCCATTTAAAATAATCCCGCGTTTTCGGACATCACTCTGGTCCTTGAAAGAAGAAGCTAACATTTCATTCTTATCCAAACCTGAATCACTCTGACTCTCCGCAATTGACGTATTTTCTACTGGCATCATTTTTGTATAACTGTGCTTTTTCTAAAGTATTTTGTGTACTAATTTCGATAAATATTGGAACCGATTCTATAGAATGTCTTTTTGTTTTCAGTTTTCTTAGAATCAATGTTGGTGAGAATTTTTGAAAATTGAAACTTTACATCAGGAGTTTCGTTCGTTCCATCCATTTTAGTCTTTGAGTATTCAACCAACTGGAGAGGCTATGCGCGTTAATTCCTAAACACAAAGTCTCTTAATATCAGGGCGCAAGAAAAACACACTACTGTATACATCACTACAAATGCAAAATTGAATCGCGTCACTATACATGCACACTACAGCGTTTGTGTTCGTGTTCATTACATTTACGCATACATCAAATTAGCGTCAACCATCTGAGCCGTGGTAGCTCAGATGGTTAACGCTCGGCACAAATGAAATTGTTAATTGCCATTTTAAGTGCTGATTTACCACGTGCTCGGTGATGAAGGAAACCTGCATGTCTGAGAAATAGGAAAAAAAATATTTCGAAGACATATGAAATTCGCCAACATGCATGAAGGCAGCGCGGCGGACACTTCCTTGCCCTAAAACACTCTCAGAATGAGGGGAGGCCTGTGCCCAGCCATGAGACGTATATTTTACACGTGTACACTGGTGCCGCTGTCTACATGCATAAGCAACGTAAGGCAAGGACTGTCGATATCTTTATCGATTAATAATTCATCATAGTCCGCACAAGTTCAGCGTTGGTATAAGTAATTTTTAGTATTTTTTCATTCATTACCTACAGCCCTTCACAAGTCAGCTGCTGAACATAGGCCTCCCCTAAGAGGTGTCAAAAACACGGTTCTGATTCACGTGCATTCATCGAATTCCTGCATGTTTTACCAGGTCGTCACTCCATCTATTGGGGGGGCGGGGTAATCGCCCTGTACTTCACCCACTGGTACGAGGCTGCCACTCGCGAACTCCCCCCCCCTTGGTTGTCGATTCTTCGAACTATATGACCGGCCCATTGCCACTTCAGCTTGATCTTTTTGACAGATGTCAAAGAATCATGTCCAGTTTTGACCTGAAAATTTTCTAAAGCGTTTAGTGATATAAAATATCTTATAAAGTTGCATATTTTTGCTTATTTCGTATCGCATAATTGAATTTTCAAATAAAGCCAGGAAAAAAATAATTTTACTATGTTTATCGTTCTCAATAGACTTTTGGGAGACGGAACGTATTTTACAATGGCTCAAAGGCCCAGAAGCCATGCCAAAATATATTAAAAACGTAGACAGAGAAACCTATAGACAAATTGACGCCTCCTTTCGCATTCGCTCACGGAAAAGACAGATTTATGCATACGTCTTGCATAGAAATGAGATAGAGCGGTGTGATTGTTTGTCCCTTTCTCCGTGCCGGTTTTTTTGTTTAGCAAACTACACTTTGCTAAACAACTGACAGTTCGTAGTGATCTAAGGAGTTTACAAGTTGGTTTAAGTGAGAAAAAAGTGTTTTGTGAGCTTAAGATTGATGAATCTTGTTCAGTTTAGTTCTTAGAACAATTAAATTTTTTATCTAAATATGTTTAAAAGTCATAAAGATTATTGTATAAAAACTTTATTACTTAAAGCATCCCCTACCTTGACATAGTAACAACGATTTTTGAGATAGTCCTGAGACCAGTCAAGAATCGGCCCTCTGATTCCACAGTCATCTAGTCGCTCTAGTAATACATCATGGCGTAAAGTATCGAATGCCCTGCTATAGTCGATCAATAACAGCAATACATGTTTTCTCTCATTAAGATTTTCATATACGTTATTAGTAAATAGTGAAAGTAGTTGCGTTGTGCTTTTCTTAGGTTGAAACCCAAACTGTGTGTCATTAAGAATGTTATTTAGCCCATAAAAGTTGTAAATTTGTCTAGCTATGTATTTTTCTATAATCTTATCTATCGTAGGTAATATAGTTATAGGACGGTAATTATTATAATCCTGTTTGCATCCCTTTTTGTATATAGGTCTCACGATTCCAGTTTTCAATTCGTCAGGATATTTATTACTCTTTATGCAGACATTTACCAGTTTTGCAATAGCCGGAGCAATTTCTTCGCAAATTCGTTTTATATCTATCGCCCGAATTCTGTCAAGACCCGGAGCTTTGTTAACGTTTATTGTTTTTATAATTTTAAGGATCTCTTTAGGTGTCGCTTTTTGAAAATTCATTGTTACGTTAACTGGTTGTCTGTATTCTATTTTATCTAAAATATTATTTTTACATAGAGGTATTATGTTTTGAACGCCACTATGAAATTTATTCGCAAAGTTATTTGCAATTATATTTTTATTTTTGTTTGTGCCCCCAAACGCATTTAAGAGTACTGTATCCACTGTCTTACGCACTCTACCTGTTATTCTGTTAAGAATAAACCAGAGTTGTTTTAAATTATCTTTATATTTATGTATTTCATTATAAATGTATTTATTTTTGCGGGATATAATTAACTTATTTGCATAGTTTCGCGCTTTATTATATTGTATTTTTAAAATTTTATTATTATTATCTTTTATCCATTGGTAAAATAGTTTATCTCTATACTCGCAAGCTTTGATAAAACGTGAAGTTATCCATTTATTTTCGGTATGTTTGTTACTGGTGTTTTTAATTTTTGATGTAATTGTCGCGTCGTTGTAGCATTTATTTATATTTTCATATATATACTGTAATATAGTATCTGGACAGACCATATCATCAACTTTCTTCCAGTTAATATTATTCAATGAAAGTTTTAATTTTTCATTGTTATATATATTTTTATAAGTAGTTTCATGCTGTATACGCGCATGTGTTTGTTCCACACAGGCAAGCACTACCGCTCGATGGTCCGCTAGCATTAAACCAAGCGCCGCGGTGTAAACATCTTGTTTGCGTGATCTCGCGTACACATGATCAATACAGGATTTAGTTATTCTATCGTCAATTAATTCAATTCTAGTGTACTGCGATATCCCGCACTCAAGGCCGTAGTTATGTAGCATGCAGTTGTATTTATGTCTTATAGGAGTATATGTTTGCAAGTCTATATTCATATCTCCGAGGATAAATAGTTCAGAATTTGTGTCCACCCTACCGATCAAAGTGCGAAGTTCGTCGATGAATAAGTGTTTGCTTAGATTAGGAGGGCGATAAATTGCACATACAGTTGCCGTGTAAAAAGATGGAGTGCAAATTTGAAATAATATATGTTCAAAATGTTTTGTTAATAAGTTACTAATTATTGTAAATTTATTCTTCTTGTGTATATATGCTATTATACCGCCACCCCTTCGGTTTTTACGCAGCACTGTATGCATGTTATAGTCCGGTAGGTTAAACATATCACTTAGGTAGTCAGATATATTAGCTTCCGTTACCAATATAATATCTATACATGCGTTAGATGAGTACACACATTGTTCTAAAGCATCAAAGTTTTTAATCAAGGACCTTATATTTATGTGCATGCATAGTAGGTTAGTTTGACAATTTTTAACAGGAATATGATTTATAAATGAATTTATGTTAGTACAATTACTCAATTCACAAATATCGTCTAACTGTACGTCCATTAAAAAAATAATAAAGAACAAAAAAAAAATACCTTTTTGATATATTTTTTGAAATAAAGTACCTATATAGAATAATTTATTGCGACTGTACATGGACTTTCTTTTGTAGTAAGGCTTTGATGTCATCATCAGTTCTAATTATGAACGATTGATCTTTTTCACTTTTTCTTGCTCTAATAACTCCATTCTTGCACCACACATATTTGTATACTCCGCTGTTTTTAAGTTCTCTTCTGGCATTTCCAAGTAAGGTCTTATTGTATATGGTTAATGCCTCACTTATGTAGATGGTTTCTTTACCAGTCAACGGTGATGCGCTAGGTAAGATATCGTTCACCACGACCTTTGTATCCATTGCTTTTGTAAGCCATTTTGTTTTAGCAGTTTCTGACGGTAGAACCACACGTAGTTTTCCGGAATTATTTCTATTGTAACCAAAGCGCTTTAGTTCTATAATGTTTTCTTCTAATTCAAGTTATTGTTGTATTTTTTGCACGACGTTTAAAAGATCTTCGTTGTCAGTGAATGGGATATTAAAAATATCAATTGTTTTAATAAGCTGTTGCTGTTCTTGTTCTTGTAAACGTTGTTCTAATGCACTTATTCTATATTCTAAGTTTTTATTTTGGTTAGATAATTCGATATTCTTCTTTTTTATTTCTTTGACTGTAGTTTTAAATGCGTCTACGGTTTCGAGTATATCATCAAGTTTTCTAGAATTGAATTCCAAAGACTCTGCAAACTAGCTCAATTGACGTTGAATAGCACACTCCACTTTTGTTGATATTTCTAGCAGCAATTTTTTACCATCTAATGGAACAGATGCTGAGGTTATAGGCGATCCAATTGCTTCATCATCATCATCTTCAGGTATCACAATTGAAGTTCGTCTAGATGACGTGTTTTTACATTCAGAGCACGACCAATCTAGGTTTTCATTTGCCCGAAGCGCATTCCTCTGTTTGGTGGTAAGCCCTAAGCATTCTGTGTTCAGATGCACCATCTTTTCACAACGATGACACTCCACACCAGGTCGAGCCTTTGTAATATTTTTGTTACATTTTTCACACTTCGACATAATGCTGTTAGACACAAAATTATTTGCCGCAACCAAACGTCCGATCGAAATGAGCGAGCGAGGCCGAATGATTATCAAACCGAAACGGAATATTATAGACTTGTACCAAAGAAGATACATAGTAGGTATATGTTATATATTACGTAAACTTATGTATTTGGGTAGTGAAAGATACGTTCAATTTTAAATCTACTTTTATTAAATGAGGCATATTAAAACTTCCGACAAAACCAAATATGCACGACAGTTAATAGTAATCTTAAATAATTAACCAACACTTAGTATTTCTACTATCCTTTAAAAATCATTTACTCTTATATATTTTTGAATTTTTCGATTAATTTTTTTAATTTTCATTATTATTTCTAACAATTGCAAAAATTTGTACTATGTATATTTTTTTAGAAAATCCAAAGGTATGCAGGTTTCCTGGGACAAGGCGGCCAACAAATTGTTCCCTATGTGTTGAGGAGATAAGTCATTTTTATTTCTAATGAAATAATCCATAAATACAGCAATGAACAAATACAAAAACTCTTTATACATATCTAAAATTTCTTGACTTTCTAGTGGTATTTTAATAGTGTATATTTCAGTTAATGTAATATAATAAAATTATTGGCGATATATTAGTTTTATTGTCATGGTATTTCACCATAATTCTTGTTAAGATCATATCGACTTTCATTAAAACGAGTTCACGTATTTTTAGGTATCATAAAACATTATTAAAAATTAAACTAACAAAACAAGGGCCCTTGTTTTGTGCAGTGGAATTAATTTTAATTCTAATCACTTAAAATCACTTTCAGTAATACTTATACATATACTATAATATCATTTATTTAATAACAACATTAATATTTATCAAAGCATATCAACCGGCTATAAAAACTAATAACGTTACTTGGTAACATAAATTTAAAACCTACATGAATAGAATAGTAATATGTACATTAAGATATCAGTAATATTCATATATTAATTGAAATATTATAATATCACTTGACGAATATATTCATATTAACTAATACTGACAACTATCGGTATTACTACTAGCCCTCGGCCAGGGCAATCGGCGACTGCCCGTTCCACGCCCCGCGCGCCTCTCAAGGCCCCCGCACACATCCAGACACCCACACATAGCCGCAAGCGATTTTACATGCACACATGCTTAAGTGTCGTTTCTTTTCGCGTAGTGTATATATTCTTTGGCTACACCAGCACCACGCGTAGCGGCCGTATTTCAAGGAAGCCCGTACGTTTCAATTTATAATTTACATAAGTCGACTCAATGATTATTATTTAGCATTATTAGAAAAATTTATTCTTATCGGCGCTGACTTTCGTGTAGTACATACGTACATTCTCCGAATAAACAAACTATTATTTTAATATTAAATAATGGGAAACACGGTGAACAAGGATGAGGTAGTTATCGCACAGTCTGAAGCAGCGATGAAAGAGACAATAGTGCGATCATATATTGGTGGGCTGTTGCGATTTTCGTGATACCGTTATGATCCTGTATTTCTTCTGCCGTTATGGGACGGCTCAGGTTAAGAAGTGGGTGCGGAAGCAGATGGGGTTCGTGCAGGAACAAGCCTTGCAAATGACTCGAGCTACGAGAACCAGCTTCCGAAGAGCTCACGACTCGCCCAAATCGCCGGCTAAAATAGAAATGCTATCAAAACTTAACTTGTAAAAAAAAAACAAGTCTCGCAACTCACTTCTTCTACCGCAAAAAGTTGTGAGATCCATGTAATACCAAGTCGGTTAATTTATTCAGTCCCTACTTAAGGATCCTTCTGTTTTAAGTTATTACGTAATTAGCCAACCTAACAACATTTTATAGTGACCATATCAATGTTAAAAATCTTTTATGTTTTAAATATATAGATTGACTAGGCCATCGCTGGAAAACACAATGTATCTCACAATAATTTGTGCAAGTTTAAGGGGTAATCTGTGCAAGTAATACATATTATATTATATTAGATTGCTTAGTACGATGGCCAAGTCAATCTATATATTTAAAACATAAAAGATTTTTAACATTGATATGGTCACTATAAAATGTTGTTAGGTTAGCTAATTACGTAATAACTTAAAACAGAAGGATCCATAAGTAGGGACTGAATAAATTAACCGACTTGGTATTACATGGATCTCACAACTTTTTACGGTAGAAGAACTGAGTTGCGAGACTTGGTTTTTTTACAAGTTATGTTTTGATGGCATCTCATTTCTTTTTGTAGATGAGATAGTCCTACTTTTTCACCTTTTCGGTACCTTCTACTTCTTGAATACCAACAACGTACCTATCTACACCTATTATACACATACATACACAAGTACACATACACAAGTACATTGATTCATTTACTGCAAATATAACTTTGTAATTCTATATATTCATATAGGATTACAAAGTTACTTATTCAGTTGGTGTATCTAGAAAATTGGACCGAAACTAAAAAATATTTTAGTTTTTCCTTGATCTATACACTAAACACTAATTGCATTCTAAATTTGAAGCTTCTATGTCTGCTAGAACTGTCTTAGAGTTTTGATGATCGGTCAGTCAGTGAGTGACAAAATTAAGAAACTTTGACTAGTTATAATTCTTAAACTACTTGTTCAAAGTGAAATTTGAAATATATCATGTTTATATAATGCCTACTTGGTTACTGAAAATTCAGGCTTCTAGTTTAATCCACTACGAAGTTACAGGGGGTTGAAAATGGCCAGAATTGCTTCGAGAAAAGTATAGTACAGCCGTGCCGCTTTCTTGCTCGACTTGGCGGGGGCACTGCCGTGCCCCCAGATTTGTTAACAGGTTGCGATAAATGGTGTTTGGCGATATCAGACGTACTGTTTCGTTTGTCTAGCTTGTAAGTAGTGTTTAAGAAAATATATTGTAATAATTTAAGCAGATTCAAATATTGTATTATAATACTTGTTGCCACAAGTATTATTAGTATTAATTTTTGTTAACTGTAATGAATTAAAATGTGTAATATACCTATGTTTTAACTTTTATCATTGCAACTCGCTGTTATTGTTAATTGTATGTAAGTTGAGCTTTGATAGCTACTGACGCATCAAATGTAATTCTCAGTATTAAGACTTTAGAGAGACGAGTTGATAAGCAGTACGTTGTCACCCGGTTCTGTCTATATCTTATTGTTCGTATATCCAAATTTTATTGTATCTTAAAATAATTTTCTTCTTTTTTTTGTGGGGGGGGGAGTGATGTAACTACACTTAGTATAGTACCTATGTAATACACTTAGTATAGTACCTACGTAACTGAGTTGTAGTCAGTAACGATCGGGCCGGCACTGTACGCATAATAAAATGTAATTAAACGCTATCTCTTACAAGGAACTATTTCATTTCCAACCCACTACACAGACATTAGTTAAATCGTCCTTTCTCACTCGAGGCCACGCTAGTCATCAGTCTATAGGTTTCTCTGTCTACGATTAAAAACGTGTTTTACACGTTCCGTTTCAGACTAAGAAAAACTTAATGATTTCTTATATTTACGCGAACATTGCACATGATTAAAAAATTAAAACTAAACCCAAGCATACCACTGCAAGACCTCAGGACATAGTCAGTTCATTTTGCATAGATCGGACCATAAACAATAATTAAAAAAGCTGAAGGTACTCCGGGTTTAACAATGACATCGGGACGTCAGTCATCTCAGTCCCCCGTGACCATGGGTGCTGGAAAGCGCCCGAAAAGTCGGGAATTAAAAATAAAAAGTAAAAATAAACGCGATAAAATCCGTAAAAGTAGTTTTAATCATAAGAAAACTTGTTCATTCGTCATGCGGTTTCTGAATGTTCAAAATAACCAATTGCTATTTTTATAACTTATAAATTTATCAATAGATACGATTTTTTATGGTTTTATACTATGGTGTGGAAAGAAAAATAAGTGTACAGACTTTATCCAACAGCTGTTATAAACCTCAAAAACTTATTTACATAATAGCATTTTTCCCTAGCCTCTAAATGAAAAAATGATGAGTTATTATGTTATTATAAACATTAATTGTTTGTATACAAAATCAGTTGTAGGTAGACGCGACGTGCTAAAGGAATCAAGTGACAGGTCAATTAATATATGGAAAGTGGGCATAATTCTTTGCGATCGCGTAACTTTGCAATGACGAACATAATATTTTCTTAATTTAAAAATTGGTAAAAAATGTTAAAATAGACACACATTTTCCTAAAATCTTAGTAGTTTTTATTGCTTCAAAGTAAGATTTAAATAGAAAAACTGAAAACAATGGACGCTCATGCAATGTTACATCGGTCGGTTGGATGGGACACAAATAACAGGCAGTAACTGTTACAAATATCGGTTCCAAAGAAGCCCTAATTAAAATTATTTTTATCCATTTAGCAATACTGGCAGCACTGGCCCCGTCCGCCCGCCTGGCTTGTTAGTACGAGTACGAGTGCGACAGCTTTGTATGCGTCACGTCCCAAGTGTCTTGAACACAGAGCACTATTACTCCTAGCGGAGGTCTTGAATTATATCCTGAAGCTACTTTGTTGTTCTTTTGTTTTGTTGCGTTATTATTTAATCCCTCGGTCCCCAGTTAAAATGATTACACCGCTAGCTCACTTTGCGTGACACGGCCTCGCTAAAACTAACCTAACTATGAATTTGTCGTACAATTATTTTCTATGAAATTCGTTATAAATGTCAATATAATATTTTTTCTTTTTATTTATTATGTTATATTACTAGTTTTAGTGCTTTTACTTCATTACAAATATATTTTAATTGTATTTTGATAGTAAAAAATGTACTTACCCAGCGCAGGACAGCTGCGTAATTTTTTCAATTATTTCTATATATTACTCAAAATTATTTAAGTAAAAAGATAAATTGTATTCACACAAAAACTCTTATAACAATTTTATAGTAAAACACTATACTAAACACTAATGAAACATTAGAACAATCCAAAAATCAACATAATAACATGCCACACGAAATAGGCGTACGAAATGAACGTAGATTATATATAAAAAACCATAGATTGGCTGCGTTTTATTGCATTAGAGGATAGGAAATTTCGCATTGAGTTTTTATGGCTTAAAGTGCTGTGGGTGGGTGTGGACCCGACCGATTGGAATTTGACGGAATATCGCCGTGTTCGGATCCGACCTCGTGCATATTGAGAGGTTAATTTTTGTTAAGCTTTTATTGTTGAGTTTTAGTTTTAGTTGTGAACTTTTGTTAATCATGCCTAAAAGGGTGAAAAAAGTGTGTTTAACAGTGAAACGCGTGAGTATATAATTCACTTACGCGATTATTTTGAGCGTGATTGTCAAAGTAGCGGACGATTATTGCCACTGTTTCAAGTGCGGCAACATGTAGCTGACGCTTTGGGAATTGAATTAGCTACCGTAACACGTATATCGACTGAAAAATTTAGCAAAGAAGCTGATGAGGAGAATAAGCTATCAACTGCTAATAAAAAGCGAAGGCGTATCCAACCTTCAGTCACATTTATCCAAAATCTTTAAACAAGCAATTCTTGTATTTTATGTATACGATTGTATCTATTATTTACTTTTATTCAATATATATATATATATATATATATATATATATATATATATATATATATATATATATATATATATATATATATATACGATTTCCAAAAAAAAAATACCGAGCAAAGCTCGGTCATCCAGGTACTAGGTATTAGTCACGGAAAGAATTACCCACACTTGACAAGTAGCTGGGAACACGAAGAGAAGCTGGTTTTTAAGACAGTGGTCGAACTTCACTGTCAAGACTATTAAATAAAATTGATTTTCATTACCAAACATCAAACAACCGCAAATCCATCAAACGTGCAACTCACAAATCTATAAAACTCAGTTTTCTTTCAATTCAAAAAGCAATGGATAGTTCATTTCCCAGTGACCATGCGGGCGAAGCCGTGGGTAACAGCTAGTGCTGTAATATTTTCGGCATAACGGAGGATCTTGCTAAGCCATTTGAGGTTATATTTCCCCTTAATCCTAGTTCCTGGGTATTTTTCCTTATAAAGACGAAACATTTTTTTTACTGATAAGTCAGCAGGAAGATACTTTATTATGCCAGAAGAGTAGTGGCTCTCTTTTGCTGGAAAACAGAATATACAGTAGCAGACACCACTGCTGTGGTGTCTGCTGCTGCTGCTGCCGTGCCAATCCAAAAGACTGTAAGTCAACTTACAGTGTTTTTGCTCAACAACGCCCAATCAGTTTCTGCAGGTCTGTTTAGTACCCCTGACCAATATTTTTGTCATTTAAACGTATATTTTGCAGGATAGGGCAAGCTAAAAAACACTGTATAACGTTCAAATTAAGGTTTAACCATGCTGGAAAACTGTAACAAAGCTTACAGTATTTTGCCGTAACAAACTACGCGCACTGCTGGAGATACAGTGTTTTAAACTGACGCGTATACTCGCACGTTGATATTGTCCCGCCAGCATAATATGATCTATAAACATGAATGATATCTCGCTCTTTCGCATCGTTATAGAGGCCCCCCGCCTTCTCGGCAAGTTTGAAGACGGTTCAGTTTACGTGTGACGCGCAGTGATACCGGTGATTATGTGATTTATTGTGTACCTACCCTGTGATCGCCTGTCGTATTTTATTTAATTACCGTGATTTTGTATTAATTTAACGATGAATACGAGTCGAAGTAAAATGCTAGTTAGACTGTCAAAACAAAATATTAAACATTATAATAACACAGACTCAGTTACTGTTGTGTCCAATGTGATAAGTGACTTTCTAGAAAAAGAAAATAGAAACCGCAATAATCACAATGAGTATGAAAATTACCTTCAAGATGATTTAGGATCAAGAAACTTTATAAGTCCTATCTGGAACGATAGTGAGTCTCAACTTAATGAATACATTTCAGAAGAATTAGGAGAAAGAGTTTACGCCCAACTGGTACCTGCTTTAATTTGTGATAAGAATTTAGACGTCTCAAATATTTCCACAGAAGATTTTCACCAATCCACAAGTTCGCATATTCATGTTAATAGCGTTCAATCTAATTTATATTGTGATCTTACGTCTAAAACAAAAATCCAGTCAATAAAGAACCAAGAACACATTGCTACTGGATCGATAAATAATTTAGATGAAGATGATTTCGATACTTTGAATCTTTTGACTGTGACACAAAACATAATATCTACTGAATTATCGACTGAAATGAACCAGCACCTTGTTTAGCACATTCTTCGCCACCTTCAGTTTCGCCAAAGCCGTCTACTTCCTTAGCTCCTGTAAGTCCTATTGCACATATTGAAAGAGAACTGCTGACAAAAAAAAAACGTAGCTTCCTTGAAGAATCCATCGCTATTGATAAACCTGCAGTCGAAGATAACTGTCAAACACCAAAGAAACCTAAGCGCAATAGAGACCCAGCAGCTATATTAGAGACACAAAGATTAAAACATCCATTGCTGCCACCTTGTTCATGTAAAAAAACAGTGCATTCAAAAGATTTCCGATACTGAAAGGCAGTCTATTTGGACACAATTCTGGAACTTGGACCGGCAACGGCGCCGCGACTTTATATCAATAAGTGTTGATAAGCTATCTACCGCATGCACTAAAACAAAAGGTGATTCTCGAAGGCATAACACACTAAAATGGTCCCTAAATGATGTCAATGTATACAAGTTTTTTTTTCTTAGGACCTTTGGTAATACAAACGATAAAGCTGTGCAATCAGTCTTGAAAAATAACTATCTAGAGAGTAATAAAAATACGAAGATAAACGCTACACCCGATCTTCGAGGATGTCGATATGCACCATCTAACAAGTTTCCACCGGAGTATGGAAACCGATTAGAAGAATTTATTATGAAATACAACCCTGTTCCATCACATTACAACATTAACCATGCGCCGAACCGAAAGTATTTGCCTATAGGTATAAACTTTTCCACTATATATAAGGATTTTAAACGGTATTGCCAAGAAAATAATACGACGATTTGTGGTTGGACTCATTTTCATACTATGATAAAAAAATTGAATCTCTCAACAGCAAAATTACCTCAAGATATATGCACTAAATGTAAAAATCATAAAATAGCTCATGAGATACTAGCACTTCCTTGTAACTGTGAAGAGTGTAAAATGATAGGCCAGCACTTAGAAAATAAACGCAATTCACGAAGAGATTTAAGTTTAGCAGAAGATCGAAGTAATAATTCGGAAGAAAAGGAAGCTGTGTTCACCGTCGACATGCAAAAAGCTATATGCATGCCACTTCTTATAACAAAACATTGTTATTTTTCAAGAAAACTTGTTCTATTTAACGAGTCATTTGTGCCGCCTGGTAAAAATAAAAATGCTGTATGCATCCTGTGGCATGAATGCGAAAGCGGCAGGAAAGCTTACAACATAGCAACCACATATGTTCATTTCATAAGATAATATTGCAGGGACCTACACCATTTAAACTTCTTTTTGGATAATTGCAGTGTTCAAAATAAAAACAATTCTTTTTTCTGCATTAGTCAGAGTTGTAAACGATAGAAAAACTGATATTCAAACATTAAAATTAGAATATTTTGAACCGGGCCATACATTTATGGCTGCGGATGCAATTCACGCTGCTATAACAAAAAAAATTAAAAACATCAGGTGATGTTTATGACATTGAAGACTTCGTTACAAATATCAAGTAGTCAAGAAAAAAACCTTGATGTCGACGTGCTCCAGCACAAAGATATGGTACTTTTTACGAATGACTGTAAAAGTACACTTCCAAAAGACTGAAACATCCAAAATTTAAAAATTATTGAGTTTCTAAGAGGTAAACTCTCCATGTTTGCCAAAAATGATTACAATGGGGAATTTAAAGAACTACATATTTTAAAGAAAAAGGTTGAAAGCGATTTAAGAAAGAAAATGGGTGAAGAGCTAGATCTTATAGATATGATAGAAAGAGAAAAAAAGCAAAGAGGTGTGAATGAAGTTAAAAAAAAGGAATTACTAACACTTACAAAATCTATGCCTGATACTTTTTATGAAGCCCTTGAGGAGTCAGATGCGCCTGACCCTGATCTCGATATACATATTCATTCTGATTTGTAACTCAGTCATATCACAAATCAGAATCAATACTTGTTTTTTTTTTCATTAAATGATGGATCTCATAGAAGACTAAATATGGTTGTGTTTATATTGTGTAAGTTCTTAAAAATATTAGAAGAATATGTTGTTTCGCAAAATTTTTCTGTTATGTTAATTTTATTAAAAAAAATATTGTTATGATTCGTCAAATGTTACTAATTAATAAGTATAATTATGTTCGTAAAAATAGAAGACTGTGTTATGTTTCGCTAGATGTTTTTGACTATTAATGTTTTATTTTACAAAAATATTAGAAGACATTGTAATTAATGATTCGTCATTAATGTTTATGTTATATAACTGTATTTGATTTTATTTACAAAATTTGACAAATAGCTGCCTAATAAATATCTACCTACATTAAAACATTTTGTTGGTCTTTTTAAAACACTGTATCATTGGATACAGTGTTATGGCATAATTATTTACCTACTTTTAAACAAGACAAAACACTGTAATTAGTTTTACAGTTTTTTGCATTGTTATAGTTGTACTTAAATTTGGCAACTCTGTCTTGTCAATACAAGTTAATGGCAATATCTTTTTATCTTACAAAATTTATGAAAAAAAAAACACTACTTGGCTATGTAGTTAGAGATATATACCTACTATTGAATGCATAAAATAATACATTAATGAACAGTAATCAATAAAAAAAGCAATAAGTATCAAAAACATATATCGTCTAAAATCTCACATGTGGTTTTCAAAAGTTACAGTGTATTGGATTGGCAGGGCAGTGCTGTGCAGTAATTTCATCATCAGACATCGCATTGACAGTTTTCGATTTCCCTCTCTTGTCTTCCAGTATTTTACCCAAAACCAACAAGTCACTGAGTCTCTTAACACGGTCCTTAGTACCGAACAAGCCAAGAAAAACAGAATTGTATACATCTTTCTTCTCATTACCAATTTGAACAGTGTGTCTCAATGCGATCTCCTTCAGCACTCGGTGTTTATTAATCAGATAGATCAAAACATATCCTAACCAAAAACATAAAAATCTTAATTGTAAATTGAATAGTTTTAGAATTGTACTTTGTCAAACACAACCTCTTAAAAGCGCAAGCTGTACGTGCAGGATCATTTATGATAGTTCAAGAGCAGGTAGAAAAACCCAAAGCCCATTGTTTGATGTTCTAAGCAAGTGTACTTGGGACAACAAAAACAGTCGTCCCTCGTCCCTCGCCACGCGTTGTGATTACACTACTTTTGCCCCTCTAAGATCGCTTGTTGTTGTTATTGTTAAAAAAAATTCCGTTTTGTGGAACTTTTTAAGTTTGTGGTGAAGTTTCTAGTTATTATGATATTTTCAAAAATGGCAGATGGTAAATACTCAAACCAGCATGTCGCTGATATCCAGTTTGTGTATGGATTGTGCAACGGCAACGCAAACAGAGCTGTCACAGAGTACGCCAGAATGTTTCCCAACAGGCCTACACCAAATGCTCGCACTTTTGTAAGGATACATTTGCGGATAGTTGAACTTGGGATCAGAAGACCCGCTAATGAAAGATTTCGGCTTGTGGCACCTGAGGAGGAAGAAGAGATATTACGTTTAATTACACAAGATCCCAGACTCGGTGTAAGACGAATAAGCAATATGCTTAATTTAACAAAATGGTCTGTGTGGAGAGTTTTAAAGAGGGAAGGTTTGCATCCTTACGATTTTCGGCGGGTACAAGACATTCGCGAACCTGACCGAAATAGAAGAACAAGACAAGATGCAGATTTTTTAAAAAGAATTTTGTGGACTGACGAAGCCACTTTCACGAAATCGGGTTATACAAATCACCGTTACGAGTATCTGTGGCTTCAAAACAACCCTCATGCTGTTAGAGAAAGTACTTTCCAACATGAAATTCGAGTGAACGTTTGGGCTGGAATAAAAGACGATATTTTAATTGGGCCGATAATTTTACCAGAAACTATGAATGGCCCAAGATTTTTAGAGTTTTTGCAAACACAGTTTTTAGAAGAATTAATGGAGCTTCCATTAACTCACAGAGCAAGGATGATTCTCCAACTTGACGGTGCACCTGCACACAGTGGCGTAGCTACCTTGGGTGGCACCCGGGGCGGAAGTTGGTGGTGTCACCCCATCGAAAGTAAAAAGCAATAAATTTTATATGATAAAGGACATGGATCATTTATTATTTATAATATTGAAGAAATAACAAAACTCAATAATAACTAAGTCAGAAAAGGAATTGTTACCTATACAATTAAAATTTCTTCTTTCTAGCTTTGACTTTTTTATTATCTATCACTATAGAACATAATACACTTTTACTATAGAATATAATATACACTATAGAATATAATGTATGTATGTAAATGATGATAGTATGGGACGGGGAATCCCCCACGACAGCGTCAGGCTCTTTTGCGGGAATCCCCGAATTATACATAGAGCTGAGCTAGTGCTAGTACAGGAATCCCCGAAAAAGAAATTTTTGTGCTATCGATTTTTTTGTTCGTACATTGTTCTTAAAGTTGAGAGACCGGGTGGGTGTCACCCCAAAAAGGTGACACCCGGTACGTCCCGCCCCCAGCGCCCCTCTTTGCTACGCCACTGCCTGCACATTTTGCAGTAAATGTGCGAAATTATTCGCCGTAGATTGGTCGCGGTGGAAGGATCGCTTGGCCTCCGCATTCACCGGATTTAACTCCCTTAGACTTTTTTCTATGGGGCACTATGAAGCAAAGAGTTTATGCGAACGTGCCAAACTCACGAGAAGAGTTGATTAATAAAATAATCGAAAATGGAAATGAATTGCGACAAGATCGGGAGATGATCAGACGTGCAACTCAACATGTGGCAATAAGGGCTACAACATGTCTCCAACATCGCGGAGGTCATTTCGAACAGTTTTTATAAATAACTTTTTAGTTACGTGCATTTTGAAATGTTGTGTTTCACTCTTCTCATCAATTCACTTTGTCTGTCTGCAACCAGGGCGACAAATTTTTCAAAGGTCATATTCAAACAGTTATAATACTGTTTTTTTTTTTGGTTACAATTAAGATTTTTATGTTTTTATGTTTTTGGTTAGGATATGTTCTGATCTATCTGATTAATG